GGTTAACATTATACAGGAGATTTTTTTTCTTTTCTACACATGAACTTGGATGTTTTAACAGCATTTTAGAAATGAAGACAATCCAAGTACAAATTTGTGTTGCTAATGCTACTGACCCTCCATGTTTTAAAATTCCCACTATTACCTTACTTAAAAATATGCTAGTCTATGAGAAGTACCAAATTCCCTCTGAAAAAGCTTGATAGAACTCCACCTACAATTAATATTGTACAACCAATTACTGCATTGCTACTGCAACTTACACCTACCTAAGAAAAGCCTTTTGAAGAATGCGTCACAAAATTGGCTAAAAATAATCAAGTTCATTTGTACTCTGGATGGTGTGGAAACTGAAATGCTGAAAGATGTACAGGAAAAATAAATATTTTGTGTTCATTTTAATTAAGTATGATTTTCAGTTGTATAACTCATCTGAGTATTATCTCAAAGAAACTCGGTGTTTCTTTTGCACGGTGTTTCTTTTGTAGAGTGTATGAACAAATGATTTTCTTTTGCCAGAGTAGATAAAGAATCATATGCTATTTTTAGAAATTCTTAAATCTGGATACAAGTTTTCTGGACAAATTAAGCCTTGAAAGTCATGTTTTAAAAATCAGAAAGACAGTCTTTCCTTGTGCAATCCTAGATGCATTCATTTTATGATAATTATTTTTGAGATAATTTGATGTTTGGAAAAGCAGTGAGAACTGAAATCCTTTTTATAGCTCCGTGTTTTCTAGTTGAGGCCACTCTTGGGCATTAGGATATCACCTTTTGGTGTGAATGTGTTACTATAGAGTGAAGAAGCAGAGAAAGAAAAGAAGGGTTAAAACATATTCTGAATGTTAGTTTTGTGCTGAGTATTGTATTTTTTCAGGAGTAAAGATCCCAGCAAACTCCCTTGAGATGAGCTGGTGCATTAAAGCTTGGCTATACTTGATTGCAGTCAGCAACAGCACAAAATCTTATTTTAACTGGCTTTCCAGACAAACAGTAGTTGGTGCATGCTAATAATGTTGTATTGCGTTGATAACTAACGGAAGAAATGTATTATTTTCTATAACGAATGGACAGAAACCGGATTACCTGGATCTTAAGGAGCTGATCAGGGTAGAACCACTTGATGAAAGCAGTGGTTCATTAGTTTTGATTTGATTACTGATTTGGAAACTGACTGTGGAGGCTTCTCTAATCTTTTTTTTGTAGTGCCATTTTGAGAGATTTTGTACAAATGGTTTTAAAACATACTTTTAGGATTACCTAGCTCTAAGACTTAGTTTGGGAGCCCTTTTGCTTTGATGCCTAGAGTTAATGCAGAGCAGGCTGTATCCTTCATTCATATTTACATGCTTTAGGGCATGTTTTGGCATGCAAGGTTGGGCTCTCCAAGTTGGAGTCACTTCAGAGCAAAAGCTGTAGGGCTCGATGCAGTGTATTTAGCTTGTGTAGATGTGCAGCTGTCTTAAGGTGATGCAAGCATGTTCTGCCGGCAAAAGGGGCACTCCTATCTCCTTTGTGCTTCTGACCTACAAGCAATCAGAGCAAACGCAAAGCCTTTCTGCTCCAAAGGCACCAGTGGAGCTGCAGTGCCTCGGTGCTCCTCGTGCTCTGCTGTTTAACTTCCGCTTGCCCATAGGTGCAAAAAAATGTTCAGAAAAATGAAGCAGAGTCATTCTCAGACCAGCAAATGTGAAGCTACCTACTATTATTCCTTTGTTTTTCATAGTTCAGTATCATTATTAAGATTCTACTGAATCTACTATTCTTAGTTTGCATCCTTCTTCTCTTCTGCCTCTTCCCCTGCTTTTTCAGGGCAGTTTTCTTGTTAATTTTATTGTTTCGATTGCTAGTGAAAAGTATCTAAATCAGGAGAACAAACAAAGAACTAAAAACCCCAGAAGACGTATGTGAATGTCAAGAAAAAGAATAGTCACTGATCTCTCCTGTTTGACAACATGAATTATAAACTCATTTTATACTGGAATTTTGAAGTCTGCCATCATCAGAGGCAGCCGTTGATTCAAAAGCCAGTTCCATTAAAATGAAGACTGGTTCATTTCTCTGCTTCGTGTTTGAGTTGGAACTTAACAAATTTGAAATCTGATATCTTTCTCCATTTAAAAAAATCACCTTTTATTTTTTTCCAGCTATGAAGGAAATCTGAATGAAATTAACTGGAAAGTGAAGGGTGTCGTGTAAGTACAGTGAACAGCAGCACAGGAAGTAATGAGCTGAAATCCCTTACAATGTACCTATTTAGCTAAAGGATAAAAAACAAGCAGTTCTTATTTGATTAGTATGAAGGCCTACTCTTTTGGGTTTGTTTGAATTAAAACAAAAGCAAAAAAACCTATCAAATACCCCCTGGACATACTGGAAAGCAAACTACTGCATAATTCATTAGCTTAGTCTCATGTTGGGACTGTTGTTATTAGTCAAACATTTGCCTGCCTCCAGTACAGTACTGAAGAAATAGATGGACTTTACATTTTACTCTGTAATGGCTTTACAGATTGAGACAGTCTTAGACAAAAAGGGGAAAAATATTAGACTCAAAGGGCTTCTAATGAGAATTTCCTACTTCCAGTTTGAGGCTTGATGAAGAAAAAGAAGAAGTGTTACCCATATGAAAACTATTTTAACTAAATTGTTAGAAAATAAGGGGAGGTTCATCTCAATCACTTATAAATTATAGTATAAATTTCCCTTACTCTGAGTGAACAGGTTTTCTAAGTTCTTTTTCATCTATTTTAAAACATGGATGATATACTGGAAGTTTCTAGAGGATTAATATTTCTCAACAAAGTGGTGGTCTCTATATCACTTTTAGGGTTCGATGTCCGGGACAGATGGGTAAAAGAATGAAGAAACAGTGTGATTATAAGAGGCTGAAAATCGGTCCAGTGCTTTGAATAGCTAATTCTTTTCTTGACAGTGGAAATCTTTCTTGTTGTACATTACAAAGGGGTGGGAGTTGTGTGCTTTTAGTTTTTAAGACCATAAGATTATAAAAGTAATTTTGTAATTTTTTCCCATACATGAAATATTGTTCTTCATCCAATTTCTAGAGATGCATATGCAGAGTGTAGCACCAACCAGGAAAAAAAAGGACTTCCTTATTTATATTTTATTTTCTTTTGGAAGATGGGAGAGAAAGCAAAATAAAAAGTGGAACTTTCAAAATGCTTCAAAGAAGCATAAACCAAATGCTTTGGAATATGTTTTTCTTTACTGTAAATCATATCCATAGAGTAGACTCTCCTCTGCCCCCTGATTTGTAATCACTTTATTTACTATGGCAAAGCAAGTATTTTCTTACTTTAATCATTTCCTTTTCTATTTGTCTTTTCTGGGAAAGAAATAGAAGAATGGCCGATCAATAAGAAAAAATCATCATATTGAAAAGAACAACATGATTTAATTGTCATTCACGGGCATTAAAATTCAGATACATTGTGAAATACAATATAATGACAGAGCACATGAATTGATTCTAATGATAGAATTTTCTCCAAAGAACAGAAAATAGCACAGACTTTTATCCAGTTCTTAAGCTGCTTTTAAAGGTTTTTATCCAAGCACCTGGCTAGCTTATTCAAAAACTAGGAAACATCTTGACCTTTAATATTATAAAAGGAAGTGGAATCAGTAACTGTGAAAATAAATAAAATTCATGTATTTTTATCTATTTGTGCCCATTTCTCAAGTAATCATACACTTATTTTTTTTAAACCTGCTTCCATTAGAGCTATTTTTTTCATACAGACATATTGTCATCAAACTATCCCATTAACTTTATCTATTATAATAATATATAATGTCATATATCTATACAGTGATCTAAAACTAGCCTGTTCCCAGATTGGACTATCGAACTTTTCCCAAGTAATATGAGGAATGTAAAATCACATCCTGAGACTCCATTACATGAATATTTAATTCCGAGTAAGCAATGTCTTCGGTGTGAACTCGTAGGTGAGTAACTGATAAATTTGGCCACTTGTGATCACACTACAGCTCAGGGTTGCTCCAGAGGCCAAATTCTGCCTTCTGCTGTGGCCTCCTCATGCTGCCAGGTGGGAAGACCTGACTGCTGGGGTTTCCCCGGAGCTGAGGGGAAATGGTTGGGTGGCGAAGAGCCTGCTCAGCCCCAGCCCGAGTGGCTGGGGGCCCCCAACGTGGGCACGTGGCTGGGGCTGTGCGCCTGTCCGAACTGAAGATGGCCTGAGATTGCTGTAATCCAGGACCTGACCAGTCATCTCTAGCATGTAACAACGTTTGCGAGAGGCCAGATTTTCCATTCCCACAGCACCTGTGGTCTAGCAGCGAAGGCGTGTTAGCCAGCTCTGAGAACGGGTCAGATGTCTACGTTTCTGGCACACTGGAGTTCTCAGTCGTGCAAGAGATGTGTCTGCGTGAAACCCTGTGAAGTTTTCTTGAAGAGAGGAGGAAAAAAATCTCCTTGTGTGTCCCTCTACCACTGTGCAATAGGAAGACTGTGCAATCTCCTTTGGATCAGGCAGATCTTGGGGAGGAGAGAGCCAGCTGCGTAAGGGGCTTCGCTCTTTACAGCAGCTCAGGTTCTAAGGGGGGTGGCAACCCCTCTGGGATACTCCTATGGCTTTTTTCATCCCACTGCCTCCCTATCTATGCACCAGAGGTGACTAGGAAATACTTTTTCAATTTTTTTCCCAAGGATTAGATGGGGGAGCAATAGGTATTCCTCTTGGTTGCAGTACAGTCTTTTATATCCTGTTGTTCCTTCTCCAGCACAAATATTCCCCAGTCCTCTTCCCCCTCCTGCTTTTTTTTTTTTTTTCCCAAAGTGTTTGCAAAGGCTTCTGAGTGGTCCAGGAAAATGTGTGAAATGAACATTGGTTTAAAAAATGGCTGATGGGGGAAGCTTATATGGGTTTTGGGGCTTGACCTGTGACGTATCTTTATTTATAACTAAGCAAAAGACTTTCAAGAAAACCTGACTCCTAGTGGATTTTTCAAAAGGGAGTTTTGGCACTGAGATTGCTTCATCTGTACAGTATAAGCAAATATCCATATTGGCAGCAACTCAGCAGGATGGAGATTTGCCTCCGAGCTCGATGGGAACGAACTCCAGTGTAATACCTCTCGCACTAGGGTAGCTTTCTACTACAATCCTCTCATATATTCTTCACGGTTTATCCAGAGTTTTACAGTGGGACTGCAACCATTTCGAGAAACAGATTTATTTACTCACGTCCATGGGAAAGTAACTACACAAAAGCATTCATGAAAGCATACCAGTTGTGCCCTACTTGGATAGTACTCCTATATCTCATTTAGATATGGAAACAATGGGAAGCTATAAAACTTTATGTAATACAAATATTGGTCCTCTGAAATCTTCATAGTCAGTAAGCACAGAGTAGGAAAAAAGCTCTAAGTTTTTAAGTGGTAGAACCAATACTGGAGAAGGAATTTCAAAACTGCCTAAGAGATTACTCAAGACCAAGATGTTTTTAATCAGTGGCCTCTTTTTATTTATTTATTTATTTTTGGATATCCAGCTGGAGACACTGTAAGTGGAGTAGATTTTCAGAAAGCCTTGAGCACCCACTCTTTTAAAACTGGTTGCAATAAGGTATCTGAAGATGAGCACCGAGAACTGCTGCATCCAAAATAAGTTTGCATCAGAAATCCAGATTCCCTCAGTTTGGCATTTAGGGAGGACTTAGTGCTTTAGGCAGCTCTGAAAATCCTAGGCACTGTGCGCAGTGCATGTTTATCTCTGACACTGGCAGATACAGGTAAACATATTCCACCTAGACCATTGTGGAATTAGTGAAATGAAGAATTTCAATAATTTTCCTGTGAAAATTTTTAACTAAATAATTCTTCTAGATAAAAATGAAATGTAAGAGAGGAAAGAAAGTGTTTTTTCTCCTCTAAACATAAATAGATGGTTTCAGCTTCTTATTTAATAATCTTGTTATAAGACTTTATCATTTTAATGTTTTTCCCAATGTTTATTCTTGTGATGTGTAAATAGGAAAGAAATATTAAATATTTGAATGTTCTTTCATTAAGACAATAACATTTCAAAGGCTAATGTAAAATCAAGCTGCTAAAGTTTACAGTTTTTCTGTCCAGCAGTTCATTTATACAACTGCCCTGAGTAGATGCTATATGCTGCTTAGCAAATGGCCTTTAAGAGTTTAAAAATAACTCAGTAAAGCTACTCAAAGGTAATACAATACTTCTCAGGTATCTTTAATGTGAGTTCAGAAGAAAACAGAGTTTTCTCATTAGTTAATTATTCAACCCCTCATCGATGTTTTATAGACAATAAAAACACAATTGAAATGTTCAGAATTGTGCTTGTTGCTATGTATGGGATCATGAGCTTTTTTTTCAGAAAGGCAAGTTTTTAAATGGTTAAACATGCCCTATTTTGGTGGACTGCTTTAAATGTTGCTTTTATTAAATTGTGTATTGTTCTCATTGGAAAACAGTTCCTTTCTTTTTTTTTTTTTGAAAAACCTCACTGACCCTTTATTAGCAAAAGATTATCTTCAAAACTGCAGATATAATTAATTTGCGGTATATCTCAAACTAGTACAAATGTGTAAAATTTGTGCTTGTAAAAGCTTCTGCTTTGAGTAGCCTTACATTCTGCAAATGAGTCCTAGCAATTGTCAAGCTCTATTGCATGCCCCATTCATGAAAAGTATGGGATGATGTAGCTTAAAGAATTTGGCTCTAAAGCTTCCTTACCTAGAGCTTCCATTAAATTATATTAATTTAAAATATCTATGGAATGATACTTTTACAAAAATATTAAAAAAAACAAATTAATGGGTTGGGTTTATGAAAATGACTCTTACAGTAAGTAAAAAAGGTTTATCACAGTTTTGGTAACTTGCATGAGTTCATATCGAAAAAGAAATCTTTCACATGTTCTTAATGAATTTAAAACTGTTGTGCTCTAGGTATTTTCAGTTGTATGCTCTGAAACAGTAGACACCATACAGCTTGTGCTTTTTATCAGGGAAGCCTACAAAGCGAACTGCTGCTTCATTAGGGCTGCAGCGTTTTCTTGGCCTAGAGATTGGGTAGCGGACGCTGCCGTCAGCCAGCCAGCCAGCGTCACAGCGGTCATATCCTAGCAGTTTCCAGGCAGCAAATATCTGGCCAACTTTAGCAATCTGTGCCCCATCCTTCAAGCAAGCCTGAACAGCTTCATCGTAGGTCAGCTTGGTTGGGTGTATTAGGTAGTAAAACCGACCTATCAAGAGAAAGGAAAAAAAAAGAATTATTAGTGACATGGACAAGATGCTATGATAAAGATGGCTTTTAAGGAGAAACGGGGACGTTCACTGCAGAATTTGACTTGTTTGGGATCATGTAATTTATGCTTTGTGCTGTTCAAATATTTTAATTTTATGTATAGTGGGTTTATAAATAATGGAAGCAAAAAATACACGTATGAATTCATGCTAACTTAGCAAGCAAGGGATCCCCACCCTCACTTCATTCAGTTGTAACTGAACTGTTGTAATGCATTTTTATTTTGCCTGCACAGGTAGAAAAATAGAAAGAAAAAGTTTAAGGAAAAGAGATGATGGAAGACACCCTGGGATTTAAAGGATGGCTTGAATTCTGCATCTGGCTTTAAGGTGAAAGATGCATTTACCAACAAGGTCTCTGTGATTTTCCAGCAAAACCTCTGAAGAACCCTATAGACTTCAGCCAAAACACGTCTCATACGGCTGTTGCTTATTGTTAGAGAAGGGAAATTAGTTAAATGTCTAAAGTAGTATAACTCCACATTATGCTTTCAGCATAAATTAAAATCCTTACGAATTTTCTTCTCAGAAGCACAGCACAGTAAGAGCTGACCTTTGGTAGTGTTTGGGTGAGGGTGGCTAGAGGTAACACATGCAGTTTTACTCTTTGGCAAGGCGCTGACCTTGTTTCTGATTAAGTACAAGCACAATCTAAAGTTTTTCTGCAAGAAAGCTGAGATACTGCACAGCTTCTCAGAAGCAGAGTTTGAACCTGCAGTAGATCAAAAACATGCCTGTCCTAAGTCTTCATTACCAGAGTCAAAAACATTTGCAGCGGTTCTGTAACTCTGTTTCTTTTTAGGCTTCAAAGGGCATAGTCTCACCATAAGATGACATTGAACTGATAGTGCTAGTAAAAAAAAAAAAGTGCCCCAGTCTCAAGGTAATGAAAACATATGCCAGCAAGTAAAGCTCATAAAGGAAGTCTCCTGTACTAATCCATAAGCCGCAATAATGCAAACATTAGTTTCATTTATCAAGGCAATATAAATTCATTGTATGCCTTTCATTCATTATACTCAAGGTTATTTATCATGATTGGATTGACAGTTAACCAAGTGCTAGGTAGAAATGGATTACAGACGAATAGCACTTAGCTGCAGGAATAATAGTTTCTAAATAAGTCTGCAACATTTTCCATCTGATTCTTTTCTAAGGGCAACTCAGCTGAAAAACAAAGCCATTTATCCTTGCAAGGCTCTTGTTCTAATTCCAGGGCACACGCTTTGCTTCTTGATTAAAAATGTACTCCAAAATAATATCCTTTTGCTTCCTCATAAAAAACAGGCAAACACACAAACCAAGTTCTGCTCAGTTTCAGGTTATTTTCTTGGTGAAGAAAAAACAGTGAGAAAGATAAAGACTTATTTGAGCTCTATATCCCTGCAAAAAACACAGCTTTTTTAAGCACAGAAATGTCAGGTCGGATGACAATATAATGATAATTGAATGAACTTTATGTTAAGGTTTGTAATTTTGCACTAGGACAGGAATCACTTTTTAAAAATGTAGGCTCTGATGGTGAAGAACCTTTTAAACAATTTCACTGACAGGAATCACTTTTAAAAATGTAGGCTCTGGTGGTGAAGAACCTTTTAAACAATTTCACTATTATCAGAGATGATATCCACGATGTTTCAAGAGAAAACATTACTTCAGAGAGTAGGCAATCTACCCTTTTGTAAAATGCTTGCTTCATTCTATTTCAGCAAGTTGACAGCATTTACGTGGTGTTGCTAAAGAGAATGTTTATTGAGTGGAAACCTGCTCCTGCTATATTATTAAGAGGTTTCCCCAAAGCAAGGAGGATTTTAGACTTAGGGGAACAGGGATTTGGACTGATAGTGTGTAAACTTCACCTAGCTTATTAGTTGCTCTTCAAACCATATGTCAGTGGAATGTAATTTCCTAGGGATTTGCCATAAGGTCAGGTTTTTGACATATGACATCAATCATAAGAACTCCTATACTCTGCCCCTTCCTTAAGTAAGAGAACTTCGATAATCAACCTCATGGGGGAAACGAAAATGTGTATCCAGAATGATTAAATAAAATGCTATCAATAAACCCAGTGCAGATTTGCTGATTTTGCCTGCCAACAGGCTAGAAGGATTCCTAATGTGCTGACTTCTCAACCTCGATATTTATTAAGGTATTATTTATTTAATTATTTATTTGTGTAGAGGGAGATGGAGAGATTGTCTGTCTCATTAATACCTGCTAGTTAGGTCACTCCTACAGAGGATAAGCGTGCTTGATCTGACGCCTCACTTCCAGTCATGGAGCAGAGGGTCTCCTCACACCTAATTGTACCTCAGCTGTAATGGGTATTTTAAGCTTCTTCACATAGCATGACAACAAACTTGAACACTTGACCTAAATACCTGCAGCCTTGTGACTGCAAGAGCTTGAGCGATGCACTGCCAGGGGAGATTTCCCCAACCTCAGCTCTAAATCAAAAGAGCAGAGATTTGAGGCTAAGTTTTCACACTGCAGCCCAGGTTCTTGGCAGCGGGCAGCGAAAGGCAGTGCCAGCCCGTCTGCTCTTTCTGTGGCAGGAGTTAATGCAACGCCTTGGAAAGAAGGCTCTTGGCCGTGCGCTCGGAGGGGAGGCCCCCAGCCGGCACAGCCCATCCAGCGGTGCACCCAGCTGTGCCACGCGGGCAGTGCCCTTAAGAGATTCACTGAGCGCAGGCCTCCCTTTGCAATAGACTGTCCATATGTGCGCCAGGAAGCTTACAGCTACAGAAATGAGGTAAATTGTTTTTCCGCGTCTCCATTTGTGGTTTCATACGGCAATAAAAGACATTCTTAGCAGCCTGCAGGATATTTCTGTAACTTGCCCATCACGTAGAGCCAGTCCTCTGCTCAATAGCCTCGAATTCAGTGTATCTTAATACTAATAGCATACGGCTGAGCAAGACCGTTTCTTCAAAAGTCAGGAAGATATTAAAAATATGAGAAGTGAGATGCTTTCCTTTCCTTTAATGAGAAGATCCTGATAATTATTTTGAAATAAAGTGATGATCTAAGGTAATTGACTTCAAATTGCCACATTAGAATATATAGGAACAGTTTTAAAAAATCCTCTTCTACCCTTCCCCCCATTAGCAGTGAGTCCAGTGTTTCAGAAGCACTGAATTTTAAAAATTCCGTTTTTAAGAACAGATAGGAAACTTCATTTTGTTATTTTTACTTTTCTTTTTAAAACAATGGCTACATATTCCCAGTGGCTAAACAGTCCCTTTATCCGGAAAGGGCAAATGAGCGGTGAGTATACATTATGCAGAAGAGGCTTTATGTACTGTTCTCCCATTTAAATGGAGTTGGTGGTTAACTTATCATACATGTTATTGTAATAAATAGGTGGTTCACAACTGCACTTTTAACAAGATCCCATAAAATTCATTCTTTGTACTTTTAACTTTGTTAACATAAGAGACTTTTGCTTGATTCTGCTAGAACTGAAAAAAAAAATTGTTTATGCATTGTGATTCTATGTGCAAAGCATATAACAAATGCACATTAATGAGCAGAATGGGTGAAAGAAGCTCTACTTATAGCTTTTTTTTTCTTTCTAAACTTTTAATTCTATAGGAGCTGATAGTTATGTTTATATTTAGCTCCCCTAACACCTGCCAGTCCAAAAAATTCCCATGACTTTTCTTTGAGAAATCACCGACCCCTTTCAACAAGCTTTTGAAATTAGGCAAAGAGTAAGCACTTAAACTATACCTTTACATATTCTTTATCCCATACCTTTCGGGGGCTCTGAGGAAGACTGGGGCAGCAGGATTCACCTGCACTTATTCCTCTGAATCGGTGTGTAGCAGCCCCCCTTTACCTCCAGGAGGGAGCATATGAAAATGAAGTAGCTCCATTCCTCGGGGCAGGGAAGAGGGAGAAATTGGGATGGGTTGCGACCCCCGTTAACTTGCAAATGACGGCAGCTTGTCCCACCACATGGAATATGAGCCTGCAGCTCTTCCAGAGAGACCATAGACTAAATTGGCATCCACTGTGTAGGACGTGCAGGGAAGCAAACCACTGTGAGGGCTGCGTAGTGAAGCACACGGATGTCAGGAAAAGGCAAAGTGGCAAATTCTGCTCAGATGCTTCCCACTTGTGGGATATTCATTTTCAATAGTCTTTATCAACTGAAAGAATCCAAAAGCAGGATGAGAACCGTATTGATAGTTATTTCTTTGGAGGGAGAAAGATTATATGCTCTTTCACAATATTTTAGGGACAATCACTATCACAGCTGGGACCTGAAATCCTGCTACACTGCTTGTACAGAAAGGGACCAAGTTGTATCTTTCCTGGGCAGCCATACCATGTTAGTCCTTGAGCTCTGAGTAGTAAGTATTTGGAGAGCGCTATGTTAATGTTATTCTTTGTATAATTGTATAAAATACATCACTACATATTCTTATAAACTGGGTCAATTGCTACTACCAGTATTTACATAGTATGTGACACATTTGGGGGTTTTTTGCTTTGCCTCTACAGTCATAAATCACTTAAAGTTCTTATTCAAAGCAGCAGAATGATTTGAGTATGATACGGTTACACAGGCTAAACAAAATGTTTAAGTTGTGTACTTACACTAATCTAAGAAAGACGCTGTCAAGGGTAATTTCATAAAGTACTATGATTATTTTATATTGAGTCGCAGACAAAACTTTGCTGAAGTGATTTCCCCGTGCAGTTAACTGGAATGTGTGCAGAATTCTTACTAAGGGTATCAAAACAAATTCTTATCCTTATTATTTAGTTTATTCAATTGATCACAGTGGGAGTCCAGTCACTCCAAAATGAAAATACCAAATCTGGATTTGAACTCAACTGCATTGTCAACTATGTTTTCATTTTTGACCTTAACAGCTGAATGTAATTTTGCTGTTTTGGATCCTTCTTCTTCAGGTAAAAGACAAGCTTTGTATATATTTTTGTCAAAGACTTTTTATTTTTGACTACTGGACTATGTAAAAATGACTTCTTTTTGAAATTTCCCCTGAGATTATAAAGTGTTTTTGGTATTCCTTTCTCTAAATTTAAACCTCACACACCCTCATTCTTCGCAGCAGCTCACACAACTGACACTTTCTGAGATTTTTTTTTTTAAGCTAGCATTACAATCCTGTGATCCTAGGGCTCTTGGCATTTCTCCAGGTCTCTCATATAAAGTTGAAAGCTTTTCTGTTTTATACTGTCAACAGATTGCAGCAGTCATTCCCACTGCTGGAAATGCATGGTGTCCTAACTATATCTCATTTTTCTTGGCTGTTCCTGAGCTGAGGGAATCAATAGTGCGTGTATGACGGTTCTTCACCACTGCAGGAGTAGCTCTTTGCCCATACCCTCTATCACTGACAATTGCGAGCTGGTTGCAAAATGGGCCATCATAAGCCTTTCTCTTTACAGTGAGGAAGCTGATGAAACTGTTGAACAGACATAAGCTATCTGAAGCGTTGAGGTGAAAATAGAAGCTGGGATTTTGGGACGGTTGCTGGGGTTACTGCAGATATTAGGGTATCATTGGGACGTGAATAGTGGAGGACATAGCTGGGACATGGAAGGATAACATCAGCTGGGGAGGAGCTGGAAAGGAAATGAAAGAAGCAGAAGTCCAGATTTCATGCTGATACCTTGGGAGACTCATACAGCACTGAGTGGGAGGGGACCGGAAAAGATGGTGCCCAGCTTTTGGTATTACCTTGTATGTCCAGTTATTAATGGCTTAGTCTAAAGAAGGGGGCTGGAGGTTAGTTATTAGTAGTCATAAACATTTATTTTGCAAACACTTTAAATAGTGCCGCTATTGCCTTTTAAACATATTCCTTGATTCATTTATTTCTCCTTGTTATTTCTTTAGTACAGGGTTGAATCTGTATATAAGAGATGAGCTCATATAGGATTTAGATTTACACAAATTAAGCAAGAAAAAATGAGCCAACATTTCATAGAAAAATGTGGCACGATAAGAATCAGATAAATATTTGTTTCAGATTGCATCCAGCCTAACTTTTGATATTGTTGGTTTGAGGGTTTGGGATTTTTTTTGGAAGGGTGGAGCAGACTTAACATTAGAGTATATCTTCTGAGAGCAAGGTTTGTGTTTATTTTTTTTTGTGTGTGCTCAAGGACAAACATACTTCATTGTGGATAAGCAAGCTGAGCATAAACAAAAAGAGCCATGCTCCTTGTTCTGGTTGGGCTGCAAGCCAAACATATGTGAGGTTGGATAGAAATTACCCACAAGTATAAGGTTGTAGAAGATTGTAGACTGCTTTTGCATATGTTCCCTTACAGTGTTCCTCTTATTTACAGTCACAGTTTTAAAACCTTTTCAGCCACTAGATTAAACCTTAAATGATAACAAGCTGAGATCAAGTCATTTCTGACCTAGAGTAACACCTACAAATAGCTAAAAAGCTGGCAGTCACTAAACTAAGGTTTGGAGCACGCCAAGTTATAGCAAAAGTGGACAGGTTAGGGCTTTGGCAGGGTACTGAGATTAGGAATCTAAATTATTATGCATAAAAGCTAGAAATAGCTGTGCTGATAAGGAAGTATTAGTCATATGAGATTTGGTTTATGAGCTGGACTTGCAACAGCAACAGCAGAGACATGAAGTTGCAATCAGAGTTTTGTTTTGGTGTTATATTAAAGTTATAAAACATCATAATTATAACTGAATTCAAAAGGAAAGCTCGGTTAAAGGAGTTACGGTTTCTTCATGACTTTAACTGAAATAAACTGGGTGTATATCAGCATTAAAGATATATATACAAATTTTAAAGAGGTGAAAGTGGAGGTATTTGAAACTGCTGCCAATATAAACGCTAAGTTTTACAAATGATCTATGTGAACATGTGGTGAAGACAATTTTACTGTTGACATGCGTGTCTCAAAATTCAGCAATAACACTTTCCAAAGCTAACATAAGCTTTGATAAGTCACATATCATTTGCTGCCCTTTGCTGCCATTGGAATTACTTTCTTTTTTAAGCTTAGCAATGGTCTTTTACAAGGTAGAAGCGACTAAAGCTCTTACCATTGAAGTTCGAAGTGAAACAGAAAACATCGTATCTGCTTTTATTTTTATTCCAGAAGCCGTAATTCCTGACCCCCAGGCCTCGTAGAGCTGGTCGAAGGCGGCGATGACGGCTTCCTGGCCCCGGCACGCCTGCTGGGCCTCGTGGAAGTTCAGGTTGTACCGCCCCAGCCGTGGAGAGTACGGGAATACCACACCTGAGTCGGCAGAGAGAGGTTGAGTTACGAGGGGTTTACTCACTGAAGGTGCAGAAGGACGGGAAACATCACTTGCCGTCGTCAAAAGGAGAAGTAAAGGTTAACCCTGCACTGCAGCAGAATATTAAGCTGTTTTATTTCTGGGGTGAAATGCTCAGCCAGGAAATCAGTCTTTCTATTTGACAGGGGGATCCGAGTGCCCCCTGGCTCGCTTGACGGGCTCCTCTCCCCATAACCCTGTCCTGCTCCTGGCGGGAGCTGTGCCAGCTCTGCACGCTGCTCCCATCTGCAGCTCTGCTCTCCCTGCTGTGATCTCGCCCCTGCCCTCCGAGAGTGCTTAAAGATGAGTGGAGCTGATAGAAATTTTGCAGCTAAATGTTTTTCATTAGAGAATGTCCATTTATCAACTGTAAGGTAAATTTCTCATTTTGATTAAAAAAAAAAGGTAGAAAAAAAGCCTATTCCTTTTTTTCCAGGATGGAATTTGGGCATTTTCTGATACTCCTTTTGAAAGAAGTAGTATAGAGGATAGTAATATGGAGTATCATGAGCTATTCTTTTTAGACACAGACATTAAAATAAAATGTATTTGTTGACCTAAAAGTGCTGTTTTCCCTAGAGAAAGTGATGTGAGATGCCGTATCTCCTGCCACTGCTATGGGCACAGCTGATGTAACCGAAGAGCATGTGCTGGAGAGCTCACGGCACTGGTGAGCTCTGGCACGAAGGCACAGATCTGCCGATGCTCCCTTGTGCCCCACGTGGGACGTGGGACACAGGCCACCACCTTGCAGCCCACAGCTGCGTCTGTGCCCTATCTGCTGTGAGCCATGGTAGCAGGTACGTGAGAGACCTTCTTGTGATGGAGAGTGCCCAAGCAGGGATGGGAAACATGGGGGCACCTCCAGAGCTGTTTCAGTAATGACATTTAATCAATGTCATTGCCTTTTTCTTACAGATTTGTCCACTTTGCATTTTCTGTTTATTTTACAAAAAAATCTCTGTAGGTAAAAATTACTTCTTGAAGCAGGAAAGAGGCTTCAGAAAATGTTGACGAACCACCTGCCCACGTGGCTCTGATAAAAAGCAGTACAGAGAAGAGAGAGATTTGAAACAAAAGTTTTGATCAGATCACCCTAATCTTTGGCAAGGTTTAGAAATTTAGCCTAGATCTAAATTTTACAGTTGTCTTTAGCTTAGTTTTTATAATAAGCTGAAACAAAATGGTATCAGAGAAGAAGCAGCTCAGGATGTTTATTCTCAAGCATCTCTGTAGAACTAAATGGTGTAGGATGTAGAAATACTAAAGACAAGATAACACATTAGGAGATGAGCGAAAAGCTTTAAACTGGTAAAGACATCTATCTTTCTTTTTATTTTTTCCCTGCTGGTGAATTCTCCTGCCTATAACAAGTTCCTTGTCTCCAAGGCAATGTAGCATAGGATAGAGAAATTACATAATGGTTATGCTCAACTGTCACCATGCAATGAAGTCATTCTTCTTTTTGATTCAGATCCTCTTTGGTATCTATTCCACTGGTATCTTAATGTCTCATTTCTTTCCCTTCTCTCCTTCACCCATCTATTGTGCAGGTAATGTTATTTTTATTAAATAATATCTTTGCTATTACTAAATGCAAGTGTGTCGGTCCAAGAAAAAAAGCATGCAAACATACACTTGGCAGGGTAATAACAAACAAGATTTTGTTCTCTTTCAGTAGTTAGCTAGAAAGTCTTCTGACTTTCGTCCCTTTTGTAAATCCTTTGTTAAAGGGCTTTTGAGTTATTAGCTGTTCTGTACTGTAAAATACGAATGATATGTAACACATTGTGTGCTGTTAACTACAACTTTATAAATAAGAAGCCATAAAGGTTTCATGTTCATTCTGGATCTCTGAAAAAATTTTTAACCATTTGTTCTGCCTTTTCTCCCTAGCTAATGGCTAGAAATATTAATGGCTATAGTAAAAACGTAGCAAGTGCCAGAGGAGTCCAAGCTTTAGTACTTTATTAGAAATCTAATGCTTATTATTTTTCCAGAACTATACCTCCCCAGAATCTTGACTCCTGGTCTAGTACATGTGTTTGATCTCCATGTATACGTCAAAAATCCTAAAATCACCAGAGATGGTTATCCATTAGTAAAGGTTTAAACTCATATACTTCTAAAGACTGAGCAACAATTTACCAGAAACTGTTCAAACAGATTTGATTCCTTAAGGTTTCCAAAATCACTTTTTTTAGATGTTTAAATATGGATGTAGATTTGTTACAAATGTACTTGAGTTTGACAGTTTGGGCCATAATGTTTTAATAACATAAATATGCACAGAACTGTAATATTAGCTTTGGGCTATATTGGGCTAGAAGCTGATTTTTGTTTGAGTTCATCTGCAGTACAAGTCTGCAACTCATTAGCATTAATTTCACCCTGCAGATACAGACGGGGTAGCCATCAGTGATTTTATATAGCAAAATTGACCTTATGCAGTTTTGTGCGGCTTTGTGTTATCTTGCATCTTTGCTGTTACTGGTTGTTTCTTCCTTACTTCCCTATCAAACCTAACACTGAATTGATAGATAGATCTATACTGCACATCTTCTTTTTGCTACAATTTAGCAGTTTTGAATCTTAGTTAATTGAGCAGCCGCATCTTCATTCTTGGCTCTTACAGCCCATCAAAACATAATCCACTCCATCTGGGCTTGAACAGACAAAGCTGTCTGGGGGCTCAATGCTATTCCGAAGCTAGAAACAGAAACTAGATGCCATACTCCAATCCTGTGTTTTACTGCAAGACAAAACACCCACTTCCAAACGTTAACAAATTCAGCTTAGGAAATGAAGAAAGAGGCAAAACTTCCAGCCTCAAATGGCTGCTATTGCTGTGGCTTTCAATTACATTCTAATATTTTTTTGTTGGTCACATGAAAGCCCCTGAAAGTCTTCCGCTGGAAAAGGGAGGTATTTTTCTTACAAGCACTGGTTTTATCCATTTGTCTGTGACCTGCTCTCTGGTTCAGTTTGAATAAAATTTCTAAATCCCTCCCCCTATTTTCTATATTATCCTTCCAAGTGTGTCCTGTTAGCAGTGGCAGTACCTGTAGGCAACCAGGTGCATCCAGCAACCTACTAGGATGTGGCCTGTTGTAGGGAGTGAGTTGTTAGACACCTGTTTAAAACCAGGGAATGATGGTTCTCTCACTCTGTTGGTTTGCGGGAACTTTGGCCTGAAGAGCCTTAAACCTGACCTTAGTGACTCAGTTCCTTGTTTTAAGCAAGCAGCCTGAACCTTTGTGGAGCTTGAGTAGGGAATATTAATTACAAAGGGAATGTTAATTACAGTTTAGATTTAGGAGGTAGCTCCTCTCCCAGGCACTCAGTTCTCTGAAATAGTTCTGTTAACAACAACTCCGCTTCTGCCTTCCTCCAAGGAAGGAGGAAAGAAAGTGGAACACATTAATTTAGTGGGAAATAAATCTGTTGGTGAAAGAAGAGGACCTCATAAGGCTTGCTCTATGTACCAGTGGCAGTGCAATCACAGTCCTGAAAATGGTTACTGTAATGGAAGTTAGGATTTCTACCAAATCAGAACATAAGAACTAGAAGTATAACAAAACCTTCCCATACGGGTGCCTATATTTCTATGAATGCCTTACTTTTGATACCAGTAATGTACAACTCTGCTTCTATTGCTGTGGTTTTCAATTACGTTTTTGAAGGAGGAGAGAGAATGAGGACAAGTGAAACTGGCTGTTTTGCAGAGCAAGTCATCACTTTTGTGCAGATGTGTTTAATGCTACTTTTTTTATCCTGGGTGGAGAAAATCCTTTTTTCTCTATTTGTCTTGAGAGGGAGAATTTTGAACAAGTCCATGAGAATTAGATGCTCCACTATATCAGAAAATAAGTGGAAAATAAAATAGAGTTCAATCTTGGTCACTTAAAGAATGGAAAAGACATGATATTTGCGTGTCCTTTGTGTGCTATTTGTGTTACACACTCTTATATGCAGGTAGTCACTCAAACTCAGCACGAATCCTTTGCAATTACCTGTTCACTAGAGATATGTTCTCAGTGCAAGGAGGCGTAACGGTTACCCAAAGCCAAAAGATGAGGAAGGAACCTTAGAAAGCTCAGCTCCTGTAACAATTTATGGCTGTCTATTAAGGCAGCACCATACACAATTAGCAGTTTTAAGAATATTTACAGACAGAACAAAATAACACACATTTCTGTTAATGCATGTGGAAAAAAAAAGAAGTCTCTTTGCAGCCAGAGTAAAGAAATGGGCTTCCTTCACCTCTAGTCTAAACAAAAAGTAAGTTTTTTTGTAGCCAGGGTAAACACAGGGTACAGTAAGGTTTGCTATATGCTGTACTGTAGGGTACAGTTTTATGCTGGCAGGTTCATACACTTGAAGGCAAAATTTTCCGTAGTGGGTTTCTAAAATTCTGTGTAAAGTCCTTCACTTTCCTTGAGAACCAGCTCCATTTCTCTGCCTGTCAAAATCGTCAGATACCTGATTGTTTAGCACAGACTCCGTGGGTGGCCAGTGGCTGTCAGCAGTGGCGGCGGCTCCATCGCCCATAGCTGGAAGCTTGCAGTGGTGCCTATCCGACCGCGTCCCCTCACCAAGCCATCAGGAGTTTTTGACAAATAGAGGCTAGACTTATCCAGCCTAGAGTTATCTGGCCTGAGGGCAGATTATGCCCTTCTTTTTGCTTCAGCCTTTATCAGATTTGAAGGCTGTTGTTTCTCCTTGCTCTCCTTAGGCAAATCAGACCCAAATCTTTTAGCATTTCCTTTCAGGTTATGGTTTCTAGATGATTTTTTGTTGCTTTATTTTGAACTTTTTACTTTGTGTGCATCTTTCTTTTACAGTGCCATTGCTCACACTAGACACAGTAGAACCATGTCTGTAAAGACCTGTTACCCTGTCGCAGAAGGAATGAGACTGGTCTGACATAATTTGCTCTTGACAAACTCCCGTTGTCTTT